TGACTCGGGGTTTCTCCACCTGGGCCCTGTTGACATGGAGCAGGACGCTCTGTAGTGGGGGCTGGTCTGTGGGTTGAAGGATGTTCAGCAGTAGCCGTGGCCTCACCCACCAAAAAAGCCCCCTCTCCCTTCTCTCCCCCCTCCCCCACCCCTAGCCCTGAGTGATGACAAGGGAAAGGTGAGACTCAGGGCTCAGCTGTCACCTGAGGCCCGTGCCTTGCCAAAGATTGTTTGAGGCACAGGTGGGTAGGAACCTTCTTGAGAAAACATTTTCTTCCTTCGAGACAAGGGGGAGAGAAAGGTTCTCTTTCTGTGGGATGCACTGAGATGGGGCACGTCTGGTGGCCCCCACTGCCCCTGCAGCTGCCTGCCCTCCGGCTCCCGCCTCGAGAGGCAGTACAGCCCGAGTACGCCCGGGGCTGTGCTCTGTTATTTACAGCTAAAAGCTTCCAACGGCTTCACCCCGAACCCAGGCTGTTAATTATTGGGAACAAATTGTTCCTCTTTGCAAGGTAGACATTTTGCCACAGACCAATAGGAATAATTGGTCAAAATGTGTCCAAAAAGTGGAAAACTATGAACATAACACCAAGATTGTGACCACGAAGCAGGCCAGCACCTAGATGAAGGGCATTAATTTGTGGATGTGGCATAGGAACACGCTTTGATCTTGCTCAAGGAGAGAGCAGCAAAGCATCACGTGGCACCAGGGGTGGCCGGGGACCACTGAGCAGATGCTCTGTTAGATATAAAGCTAATCCCAGGCAGGCGTCTGAGGAACCTCCAGGCAGTCTCTTGCTGAAAGGCTCAGCATGTGAGGGCAAAGCATTAGAATTGATTCTCTTTCAACAGTCAACCTGACTCGTAGCAACAAACTCCTTTCCTATTTCCAAAGTGCTTTGTGGGGTCAATGTGTGTAATGTTCAATCACAATCCCTCTGGCTTGAGAGTTTGGGCGGTGACTCCTGCCTCCACTGCCATTTCACTCGCTGAAAAGGAATTTTAAAGAGGCTGGAGGGAAAAGCAGGTGCTTAACCTCACGAACCGGAGACTAAGGTTCCAGGGGATGGCTACGTGGGTCCCTTTAAAGACTTTCTTAAAACAAAGTGACATTATGAGATGGTAAGCAAACAGGTCACGGGGAAAAGGGCATCGATTTCCCCCCAAGGGAAATCTCAAAGGATAATTTTTGTGAGAAGAGATGGCGGTGTTAGTAAACGAATGTGAAACCTGTAGGCAGTTGTTCTGCTGAGGCAAACACTGGAGAAACTGAGCTGGATTTAGACAGTTGTTCTCAAATAACTTACTTTGGAAGAAAAAAAAAAAAAAGACTAGCTTTAATTCTGAATAAAAATCCACATCAAGGTGATTGTGTTAGGTCCTGTTTGAAAATGCAATTAAAGTCAGTCCTCACTGAGGGGCGGGCTGGTGCCCAGGATGCCCAGATGCAAGTACTTGGGAACCTGCGCTCTCCTAGGGGCGGACCAAACAGCCAAGGGCAAGCCCTGCAGCCGGTCAGTGCCTCCAGCTGTGACTGGCCAACCGAGGCCCAGCGCTGGGTTCCTTCTGTTTAAACCGGGACTGATCAGACCCAAACCAAACTCAGGGCTGTTGGGAGGATTAGGCCAACAGACAAAAAGCTCAGAACAGCAGTGTTTATAAGACACGCTTTCCATGGTGCTGGACTAATTGTTAACTGTTGCCAGGTGATTCTCAGGGTTAGCTTTGACAACAAATGGTGCAAATGACTCCATTGTCATCCAATTAAAACATATAAACTATAGAATACAAAAAAAGAGGAGCATGATTATCCATTCAGGAGACCTTCATTTTACAAGCAGGATGTGAAGGTCATTTTAAGTGGTTTGGAGGACGCTATGTCCCCATGGCAACAATGCTCTGAGTGTGCTCAGGATTCCAAGGACTCACAAAGGCACATTAACCTTTAATTACCTGAAACACTGTATGTTTGTGCTGAGCAGCATAGTACTTTACTAAAAATGAAACAGCAGAGAAAATTGGTCAGCAAATAAGATTAAAATATTTAAAATCTTTTGACTTGAAGGATTAACCAGAAGTCAAATAAGGAAGCTGGTGGGCCTGGGAGATGAGGGCATTTGTCAAATGTATGGCTGCTTCCCTTGGTGCAAGCACCTCAATACTTGGACTTACTAATCCTAAGTGGGATCTTCACCAGCCTTCAAATGAACAAAAACTAGTTGGAGAATGAGCAGCAGCCATTTTCCTGCACAAACGGCTCACACTTGGAACTGGAAAGGGGCAGTGCTGATCCTACAGGCTGCGGGGCACGGTGGGGCATGTGGCCCGGGGGGTGTGTTTGTCTGGCAGACACAGAAAGCCTGAGGGGCTGAGGCAGTGGCAGGGCAGAGGAATTGGAGCATGGCCAGATCTGCAGTTCTCACTTTACACAGGTCATCTTAAAAGATGGACGCAAACTATCCATTTGTGCAAATGGGAAGGCCTCTCCAGGGTCACAAAGCCCGTTTCATCCAAGGTTGAAGCTTTGCCTAGCAGTTTCCCAAACTTTTGACATCTGTGTACCCCTTCTATAATTTTTGTAACGCTAAGTACCCCTCGTACTCATGAGAACATAGAATTGGGCGCAGCTAAGCACGATGCAGTGCATATCCCCACCAAACTCCAGTGCAACGCATACCCACACCAAACTCTTCCCGTACCCTTGGGAGTACACGTACCACTTTGGGAAACACTGGAGAGAAAGGCTGGAGCACATGGCAGTGCAGGCGTTCGTTTATCAATGGAACCCGGTGCTGCTAATGGGATTACTTCAACTGCCATCTCCCCAGGATACAGTGTTTACACCGCCTAGGCCAATGAGATGTTAATCAGGTGGTAAGTATATAAAAAAGATCCTTGGCCAAATAACTTGGAAACTGGCAGGTGAGAAAGTGAAATCACATTTCTCTGCTCTGGGACCTCAGAGCCTTCAACATGCTAATTTGCACTGTGATTTTCCATAAAGTGAATCCAGTACAAGGCAAATTTTCTAAACCCAAGTGACTACAAGCCCTTATTGCCTGGAACTTCGCCAGGACAAGCGCCACGGGGAACGTACCTGGAAAAGGCTTCCGTCTGAACATGTAAAACATCAGCTTCCCTTCGAGCCCCGTCAGCGCAAACCTCACGGTCACCCGGGCTCCTGACACAATCCCTCCGCACCACCTTCCCCTTCTGCCATGGTTATTCACACTCAATCCTTCTAGAGGTTTTGGCTCATGATCTAACATGGAGTGTGCATTTTAATCTGAAAACGTGAAAAACCAAACAAATCACTTGGACACACAAAGGAGGCTTTCACAGCAGGATTTCAGGCACCTTTATTCAGGGCAGATACTGTGGTCAGTGGAGCTTCCCTCAGGAATCTTCCCTTAAGGAAGCCAACTCCTCCCTAAGTCCTAGCTATCCTTCCTGCCTGCCATTTCCAGTTGCTGTTGACTAGGCTTGAAAACACCTTGCACACAGGTTCCATCTGATTGGCTGGAGAGCAGCAGGCTCTGGGGCTTGCTGGGCTAAACCTGCAGCACATCAAAGGAGTTTCTGCACTGGGCAATGAACAGATTTAGCTCATTTTATCACAAAAGAAATTTACTCCTTTGTGTTTTCCATATAATTTATAAATAGGAAAAATTATTTAATATTATTATATATTTGCAATACAATCGAATCTGGTGATATAGGAAACAAAAATCATTAAGCGCAAATCTAACAGTCACCGAAAAAGTCCATTTTTCACTTTTTTTCTATGAACACTTTGCTGTGACAATCACATGGATCTCTGGCCTTTAGGCTTAGCATTCCCAACACTACAGTTTTGAGTTGCAAGAGTTATCTCTGTCTTCTATCATGAATAATAAAACCATTACTCTGCAGTTTAGGTAAGTAGTAGTTTAAAGAAACAGTATTTCTTAAAAAACTTGAGCCTATCACAAGTCTCTTATTATTTTCTAGTGAAGCAACTAGCATAGTCTCTTTTCCTTTTCTGTTCCTTTTTTCCAATCAGTAATTCACAGAAAAGATGGAGCAACTGAGTTTTAAAATCCTGCCACATTTTGTAGGGTAACTATTGTAGATGAACAATGTAAGGTCCTACTCAAGTATTCAAATCTCATGCAGAACTCTAACTAATGAATGCCTCATTACATTAGGCAATTCTATCATTTTCCATATTTAAAAATTCTCACGCTAAAGTGGCAGTGGTTACTATTCATTACTTCAGCATCTGACCTCAAAGACTTAGACAAAATCATGGTTCAAGTCTGAGTTTTGGCAACAAGTAGTGCCAGGTATTTCTGAATAAACAATTTTTAAATGTTCTCAACTACTGGAAAAGTATTACCAACACATTATTTGGTGTTAGTTCATCACACTGTTGAAAGTCAAAGAACCCCAAACTCTATAAATGTCTTACTTTACAAAGTCTAACTATAAAGGAATAACTTACTATATGTCTAATAGAAAAAAATTACACAGCAACTTTTATCAAACAGCAACTACTACAAAAGGAATGATAGAAAAAAATGACTTCACAAAAATACACTAAAAAATTTGACAATTTTATGGAAGAACCGCCAAAGTTTTAGTGTTTAATATTTAATAGCACAACTGACCAAGATCTGAGGTGTGAAGTTATCATGTTCAAGAAATGGGGGAGGGGGACCACTCTACGGACTAAATATATAGTAAGTGATAAGAAGAATGCACGCTTTACAACATAAACCCTGTCTACACATAGCAATTAGTTGCAAAAAGCCATCTGGTCTTCTCTTGGCTTATAAAAACAATGTTCCAGATTCCAGTGCAAATTAGCAACCTATTGAGAAAGGAAAAACCATCAGCATGTTATTCATTAAATAATTACAAATAAAAATGATAGTTAGAATTACCAACTAAAAATTCTTTCCGAACCCTCTAATGAGCTCAACTTATTTTTTGTGCATGATATTCTGACAGCAATACAATACATTTAGTTGGAAATCTTTATTAAGGAAACTTCTGAATCCATTTCCTCCTCCCACTCCTTTCTTTGTTATCATCTCTGTAACTCAGTCTTCAATCCTCAAGAGGATGTTCTCATTCATTTGATGGGACTTTTGAGATATGAGAAGCTTCTAAGACTGGCAGGACATTTTCTAAATTATTTTTATACAGGAATAAAGATGACAACCCACACAAAAACATTATGTGATTTACTCACGCAGAGAATCAACCCAATCTATTTTTCTTGTAGTTCAAAGCAATTTGTATTTCACAGTAACTTATAATTTGGTCCAGTTAGGACACACCAGAAAGTAAAAAAAAAAAAAAAAAAAAAAAAAAGGAAGAAATTTGATGTCTTTTACTGTATTATTCTGTTTGGCACTATAGTTATCTAAAAATTCTGAGAACTTTATTTTTATAGAGAAAATGCTAAAAATGGGATGTGAGGAAATGGGGTTTAAAATTCTTTTTGGGTTGCAACAAGGTCACATCACCCTCAGGAAGGATTATAATGAAGAAACCCATTGTGAGAATAAGGCAGCCAACTGTGTAGCTGACTGGCTATCATGCTATCTCGGTATTTTTGATTATTAGTCTTGCCTCTGATGTGTAAAATTATGAAGTGAAAATTTAAATAAACTCTAGGGCGAAGGCTTAATGTGGCCATAATCTAGTTCATCTAAGTCATAACCAGTTACTGTCCTGGCACTAATTGAGAAAGTAAGTATTCCCAAAAGAATCCTTAGAATTTAAGGCATTTATGAAGGTGGCAATGTGGATACTTGAGTTCTTTTTTTGAATAAAACAAAATAAAGAACGTTAAAAAAAAATCTTCCAGTAATAAAATTTAACAAAACACATTTCTTTGTTTTGAAATGTAATGATATATACCATGGCCATTTACCGTTAGTCAATGGTCTTAGTCACTGAGGACATAGGTCTAATAAATAAAAACTGGGAAGAAGACTACATCAAAATGATGGTGACATACACCATCCTTATACTGCTCCTTCCCTCACCTTCAACTCTTTTGTGTAGCAGGTATCTTGTTTTCCCCTTCCAGTTCTTCCACGCCAGCCTGTGTCATGAGGTCTGCGATGTTTTTCTCCAGGTCATCAATGCGACTACTCATGTCATCGAGTGGTGAAGTTAAAGACAAAGCACACCAACACCCCCCATTGTTAACCTTTTCCTCCAGGGCCCTATAGACTATGGCCTTAAACACAATTGTCCTAATAAAATAGGTTTTCCGACTGCGTAACATTTCCAGTCATGTTGCATAACAACATTTGCAGTCACTTTGAATCACAACATTTCCGTCAACAGCGGACCAAAGACACGAGGGTGGTACACCAGAGGGTGGTACACCAGAGGGTGGTACACCAGAGGGTGGTACACCACATTCGGCCTAGGTGTGTAGTCGGCCGCACCACGAGGTTTCTGTAAGTTCACTCTAGTATGTTTGCAGGATGACACCACCTAAGGACACAGTTCTCAGAATATATTTCCGTCATTAAGACTAATCTGGTAGTTAAGAGTACAGGGAACAGCCGAAATCGGTTTGGCTCAGTGGACAGAGCATTGGCTTGCAGACTAAAGGGTCCTGGGTTTGATTCCAGTCAAGGGCATGTACCTTGGTTGTGGGCTCATCCCCAGTGGGGAGTGTGCGGGAGGCAGCTGATCGATGTTTCTCTCTCACTGATGTTTCTGACTTTCTGTCCCTCTCTTCCTCTCTGTAAAAAATCAATAAAATAGATTAAAAAAAAAAAAAAGAGTAAGGGAACTGGGGGAAGGAACAAATGCCAGCCCTCCCCTTTTCCAGTTATGGTATCTGGGCAAGTTGTTTTATTTTTCCAGGTTACGGAGAAGATCAGGGGAAAGACACACAAACGTTTAGCTCAGTCACCAGCCAAATCACATTAGACACTAACTATGGTGGCCTGTCAGTTCCCTGAGGCTGGGGTCCAGCTCAGTTGCACTCCCAGCTCTCACACCGTACTTCTCAAGAAGAGTACACCCGAGCTCAGTAAAAATGAAGTTGGCCTGACAGTTATATCCTGAGAAAATAGGATCCAAACACCCACAGGAGGCTGACTCCAGATATAAAGGATATTTCTTCCAATGATCTGGTCGGACATGGTCTGAAATTTATCTTGCATCTGTTGCAGGAGTGTCTGCACCTGTGAAGCAACAAAACAAACCACCCCACGCTTACCTGGGGCCACCGTCACGGGAGAGGATGGGAACCCCGGTCCTAGCCCCAATGTAGCTTCTGACAGCTCAGAGGCCTTTGGCGAGGATTTCCCCTCCCGGGGTTCCGTTTTCCCTGTCAAATTATACCGGGGCGCCGTGAAGCCCCTCCCTGTTTGGGCCCCGCTGCCGTTCAAAATCTGTTGGGTCTTTGGGCAGTTTTGAGGGCTTGGAGGCTTTGGGGTGTGAGGAGGCGGTGAAGGGCGGGCTGCGTGGAGAGCTGAGGGGTGCGGGGCGGGACTGAAGTGGCGGGGACCAGGGGGTCACGCCAGGGTGCGGTTCAGGGACAGGTGAGGGGGGGAGTGTCGGATCTGGGGACCTCAGCAGGTGCAGAGGCTCCCACCTAGAGGCCCCTCGCGGGTCACGGCGGCCAGCGGCCTCCGCGGGCGAAGCCTCGGCAAACACCAGAGGCCGGGACCCGCGCGGCCGGAGAGAGGACGACTGGGTCCGCGGGCCTTGCTGGCGCCGCCCCGGAAGCGTCGGCCTCGGGCCCGCACGGACGCCCCTTACCACGGAGGTGAGATCCTGCACGGTCTTGGGGTCAGTCTCGGCCATCTCCCCGGTTCCCAGCTTGGCGGTGATATCTCAGACCGTCACCGACACTTCCGTTTATCCGAGCCGACGCCCCCAGCGGCTTCTTCTCGCGACGACAGAGGCCTTCGCGCGACCGCGGGGGATTGTGGGAGCTGTAGTTGGCGTCACGCGCCGGGAAGGCCTGCAGTCTCGAGCCTCTCTCTGAGCGAGGCCCCGCCCCTTCCCGTAGGCCCTAACCACGCCCACCAGCACTTCCCCCGCCCCCACCGCTCGCCACAGCCACGCCCCCAGCCACGCCCTGGGTGGAAAAAAGGGTAACACCGCAGTGGGGTGAACGGTGGAAGGGTTGGCCTTTTTTTTTTGGTATATGTTTTTGAAACTTTTTTTTATATACATATGTACTTACATAATTATAGAAAATATCCCTTCACTTAATATAATATATCATGAACATATTTTCATATCAAAACCTGTTTTTAACTATAAAACTATAACTATACCTTAAGTTATTTAACCATTCTTTAATTAAAATTTTTTTTTTTTTTAAAGGAAGGGGTGGCCTTGACCTCTTCCCAGGCTGTCCTTCGTTAAAGGCCACACTGGTTTTCTTCAGCCCAGTCGGGACACACTTGCCAGGCGCCTGCGAGGTGCCAAGCCCGGGCCCGTGCAGCTGCCTCCCCGCCAACAAAACCCCACAAACACCTGGAGGGGAAACTGAGGTCTCAGGCCTGCGGGGTGCTAGCGTCTTGGTTGGGCTCGGCTGCCCAGTTGAGGGTCTGGTTACACTCTCCATCTCAGTGGTCTTCCTTCTCTCCTTGAGGGTTGAGTGGAGGTGCTGGAGCAGTGGGGCAGTTAAAGCTTTTAGCTTTTAACTTAATTACAAAATGCGTTCTGGATGGTGGAAAAAATCCTAAAGTACTTTTCATAAAGTCCACATTCTTGCAACCGCCCCAAGTCAAGAAACATGACCAGCTCCTGGAAGCCCTTCAATGCCTTTCCTTTCACCCTACCCACCCACCCATGAGAGTAACGGGCATGTGACCTTTATTTAAAAAAAAAAAAAAAATATATATATATATATATATATATATATATATATATATATGTATATATTGAATATATATTATTGATTTCAGAGAGGAAGGGAGAGGGAGAGAGAAATAGAAACATTAATGAGAGAGAATCATGGATCGGCTGCCTTCTGCATGCCTTCCACTGGGGACTGAGCCCACAACCTGGCATGTGCCCTTGGCTGGAATCGAACCTGGGATCCTTCAGTGTGCAGGCCAAAGCTCTATCCACTGAGCCAAGCTGGCTAGGGCCGGCGTGTGACTTTTAACACAATTGGTTGTTGGCCTGTTTCAGCTTCATTTAAATGGAATCAGACAGTAAGGCCTTCTCAGTGCCTGGCTTCTTTCATTCAATATGATGCTCCATGGTGTTGAGTAGGGAGGGTTTCTGTGGGTCAAGGAGGGAGGCTGGATTTGGTTGTCTAAGGAGGGGATGCTGCTGAGAGGGGGCTCATGTTCCAGCCCCACAGGTGGTCTTGGATTTGGTCTCATTAGCAAGAGATAGGAGAGTCTTTGAGGGAAGGCCTGGCATGTCCCAGATCGTTCACATTCATTATCTCATTTAAGGACTGAATCGGGGCTCAGTTCCAGCTTGCTTTTAGCTGCAGAGAGGCTGTAAGGGAACCCACCTGTGTCTGTAACAAACCTGGGGGGTTGGTCATGGAGGGCACAAGACTCAACTCTTTTCACCCAATTTCACTTCCTGTCCCCAACAACAATTCCCCCTTCCTCCCTGCACCCCCACTCCACCTTCCTTCCTGTGCCAAAGGGGTGAAACTCTTTATAATGAGTTATTGTTAACTGGTATTTGGTTAGTTAAACATCTCTCAGTGTTTTAATGCTCAGGAACCTGTGGTATAATTATCACCATTTTACATTTTGAGAAAACTGACACAAAGGGACTGACTCTTAAACCAGGCAGTAAAAGTAGGGAGTAAGAGACAGGACTTGATCCCAGGACTTTCTGACTCTGCCATCTCATTTTTCTATCCTTCTAGAATTCTCTGCGTCGTCTGGTTTTAGAGTAGGGTTGCTCACCAGCAGCACCACTGGCATTTTGGGTCAGCTAATTCTTTGTTGTTCTGGGGAGTGTGGTGTGTGCCCTGGGCATTGTAGGATGTTGAGTAGCTTCTCTGACTTCCACCCAGTAGATGCCAGTAGCATCCCCCACTCAGCCATGACAACCATAAATACCTCCAGACATGGTCAAGTGTCTCCTGGGGTGGTGGGGTGGGGGGACCACTCTCAGTGGAGAACTACTGGCTTCAGAAGATCCAGAGACATTGCCCAGGGTTCTGCTCACTTGCTCTTCATGGATGAATCTGTTTTCCTTTGGGCCATTTCTTGAGAATTTTGCTCTGGACATATTGAGATTGAAGGATAATGTATGAGTTTCCTAGGGCTGCTGTAACAAAGCAGCACAAACCAGGCAGCTTAAAACAACAGAAATTTATTACCTCACAGCTTTGGAGGCCAGAAATCTGACATCAACTTGTCAGCAGGGTTAGTTCCTTTTGAGGATTAGATTCTCGGGTTAGTTCCTCCTGAGAATCTGTTCTGTGCCTCTATCTCAATTTCTGGTTAACTGCTGGTAATTCTTGATGTTCCTTAGCATTGTAGATGTTCCATAGCTTGTAGATGTTCCTCAGTTTATATCACTCCAATCTTCACTTCTGTCTTCCCATGGCCTTCAACTTGTGTGTGTGTTTCTCTATTCTTCTTATGGAATAGGGGCCTACTCCTCTGCAGTATGACCTTATCCAAACTAATTCTATCTGCAAAGATCCTGTTTCCAAAGAAGACCACCTTCTGAAGTTCTGGGGATTAGGACTTCAACATGTCTTTTTTTGGGGGTGGGGTGGGGCGGGGAGAACACACAATTCAACCAGTTGGTAAAGTCATACCACTTTAAATTTGTTTCATACTTGGTGTTTTATAAAGTGTTGACATGAAGCTCCAAAGTCATTTAGCTAGTGAGTAGTCAATACTGGGCGGGATTTCAGGCCTTTTCACGTTGGACCCCAAATACTGGGGCTATTACAACCAGCATAGAAGTCTGGACACCCACACCCCGATTTCTAGCCACATCTGACTTATGGCTAGAATAAGACCTGGAGGTGTGTGTGTATGTGTGTTTCTGGCAGGAGACTTGAAGGCTTTTTATCCAAATAAAATTTTTCTTTACACAAACAGCAGGCAAACTTGAGACGTTTTTTAGTGGGTACTTTTTTTGGCACTTAGAAAGACAGCAGACTCTCTGCGTGGAGACCGAGGTCGTTTAAACAGCTGCCGTACCCAGAAGCTTCACTAACTTATAGTCACGGCTGATATACTTACTTTGTAGGGCTGACACCCGGGCCCTCACTGAATATTGTTCCATTAACAAAACTACTGTATTATGTGTAAGGCGCTAGTAATTAACCTTTCAAACGTTGGTTTGGAACAACCCTCGTATTAAACCTTTAAGTGTCATATCTTCTCTTAGCATTTTTTAAATAGCTCTTTCTAGACTAATTGTGTAAGTGAAGTAATTCTCTTTTCCCCTTTCAAGACGGCTTGGTTTTACATGAGTTTAATGTGGTACTTTCCTAATTGTGCTTTGGTTCAGCTGGGCCATTCTCTCCACGCTCCTGCTTTCCCAGACCTTCGTGTACACGTGTGTCTACACTGCGGTGAGATGTTCTGTGTTTGCCTTGTGTGGGCAGAGAAGGAATGATCATCACCGAGCCTCAGAGAACTTCAATTCGTCCTGTGTCTAGTTGCACTTGCTGGGAGCCAGCCCTGTTCTGAGCCGAGGAAATAACACTTGCCTCATATGCTGTTGTAAAGATTCAATGAGTTAACAGTTATAAAGGATTTTGCATAGTGTGGGCAACATATCAAGCAATTAATAAATAAAAATAATAAGCACATTAATTAATAAATGTAAACTATCATCATCATCATTACCATCACCATTAACTGCATTTTGGTACCTTGTTCGTACACGCCAGAAGGACTGTAGACTCAAAGTCACCTGGATAGTCTGTGTGTTGGTACAGCTGCTCTAAACCCAGCACCACGCAGAGTCGGGTTAATACTTTTTTAGTGGCCAGGTCTTTAGATCGAGACCCGATGCATTTATTTTGGATGAAATGCAATCTGATCTACTTCAAGAGTTTGATAGTAGGTGGTTAGTTCATTGAACAGAAGGTTTCAAATGACATTTTGAAATTCTGGGATAAGTTATCAAAATCTCTAAAAATGTTCTTTAAGAATCAAAGTCCTATTTGCTACCTACCATGAAATGTAGCTGGATTTATTTTGTGAGGACGATCAAATCTGCTGGTGTTGGCTGAGAGTCATGCAGTAACATCCTCCTGAAATGATCTATGGAGAGAGCTGGCAGCACTGAGGTAACTTTTATCAAAATTGTAAAATGTTTGCATGTTCTTGTTAAAACATACACATGAAATCATTTGTCATATGTAAAATGGGAGAAATGTCATTTTTAATGAACTAAGGTGGTTGATGTGTTTAAAAAGCAGTGACCGTTCACTCAATGGAAACAAAGCCTTCATCTCATGCTCAGTCATCAGGAAAAGCAATTTCTGGCTTTTACTTGACTTTCTTTTTCCAATAACTTGGACTACAATAAAATGCACTGATAATAATGACATAATATTTGCAATATACTTTTACTTCCAGTAAACAAGGCAAATGCATCCTAGCAAGTTAAAAAACATGCTATAATTTAGGACATGCTACACTTTGGCTTCTAAGACTTGGTCTTTTTTTTTTTGTGTGTGTAGAAGGATTAAAAAGATAACAGAAATATCTCTGTCCTGGTAAGAACTCTAGGGACAAGGAGTGTACTTAAATAGAGGACAACTAGGGCATATTGGACTTGTTAATGAAGTATGCACTTCACTCCTATTTTTCCCTGTTCTAAGCTTAGTTAAGCCACTGGCTTGATTTCTCCTTTTCAAGAGAAAAATACTCATTTGCAAAATACAGGAGAGCCTCCTGGCTTGAGAGAAAAGAGGAGGCCTCACTTACTTGCTTGAGTGAGTGGGTCATTGGACTT